TCTCATTCTCTCTCTCTCAAATAAATAAATAAAATCTTTAAAAAAATAAATAAATAAATAAAATAAAATTAAGTATATTTCAACTGATAACTGTCAGTCTATTTTTAATGTTTATTTTTTGGTATTTTTCTTTATCAGTGATGCAAAAGAGCTAACAAAATTTTATGAATATGGAAAGGGAGAAAAATGCAAATAATTTATTTTAAAGTAAAAATTAATGAAAATAGTTATAATATTTTCTATTATTGCAAATTTTTCCAACTTAACAATTAGAATTCCTGTGAAGTTCTGCAATGTGTACTGCTTATGAAAAATTAGGATTCTTATTACTGGGAGAAAACATCAGAATATAAAATTTTTAAATCCAGAGCTTTCTACAGGACCTTGAGGAGAGGTATTATGATAGTGTTTCTTAAGGCAATATAGTCTAGTAAATAGAAGTGACAATGTGCTCTTGGGCAAATCTATACATTTAAATGAAAAGTATAATGATGGTGTTTGTATACAAAACATTTTTTGTACCAATGATATTTTATCATATGGTGCCAAGTGGACCTTAGATAATACACGTCTTCATAACTCAGAACTAAATGTAAACCAGCAACTGTTTAAATTTACATTATTTTGTGTCACATTATTATAGAACACAAAGTACTCCAAGCACCACTTAAACAAGATACTTCGCTAGATAGAATCTGTTCTACTTTTAAAACAGAGCAGCCCAGGAAAAGTCAACCTTCTCAAGTGAAGTAATAAACCAAATGTGTGTGTTACTAGAATGATATTTTGTGGAAATATATCACACAGTGTAGTCTACAACTTAGAATAACTTTAATATATTATCTATCATAATATGGTATATACTAGACTATTGGCTCTTTTATAAATGATCTTATTTACCAAGGGTTTTTTTATATTGCATATTATGACTATAAATAACTCAGAAAAGTTTCTGTTCTTTAATACACTTGGATACATAGTGCAAATGTAGCATCCTCTGGTGGTAGCACAGAAAACTGAACTTACAGTTATCAATACAAAAAAGAAAAAGAAAACACAGCTGGAAATGAAAAATAAAAATGATTTCTGGATAAAATAATGCTAATTCCAAAAGAATAATTAATTTTTTGAGTCTGCGGATATCCCTACATAGAAAAGTTTTCTGTGTATTAGTCAGCAAATAAGGCTCATACCCTGATGAATCTTTGTCAATTCAATGTCAAAACAGAATGGGGCAAATGAGTTTGCATTAGCCGTTTAGACCATATATACACAATGCCTAATAGTTTGTAACTTGTCTGATAAATATTGGAAATATTATTTTATAAATTCTTGTTTGACTAATTTTAATTATTTTTCTAAATTAACATTCAGTTTAATGAGTTTATGAGTTTAGATCAATGGTTTTCCATCTAGAACCTCGGACTCCTGGGTTCACACCAAAATAGACTCCAAAACAATAATGATGCTAATGATGATATTGATAAAATAATCAGAAACCACATTTATTGTGTGCCTACTGTATTCCAGGAACTGTTCCATATATTTCACATGTGTAAACTATTTGATCTTTGCAATACAGCTATGAGATTAGTATTCTTCATTCTACAGGTGAGGAGATTAATGCACAAGTGGATAGGGTAGCTTTTCCTAAGGTCATTCAGTTAGTAACTGGTTGAGTTAAGAGTCAAACCCAAGCAACCTAGATATTTTAATCATATGCATACCACCTTCCAAGATAGTCATGGGAAGTCCATGAACTATTTCCAATTCCAAACTATCTTATAATTATTGCACATCTCTTTTTTGGATGAACTAAATTAAATGCTATTTCTTTGACTTTGGTCAAAACTATGTCAAATCAGAGTGATAACACTATTGATTACATATTATGATCAGAAGTCTATAAACATCTTGGGACACAAGGAAGATCATGGCTTATGCATTGTCTCACAACCAGTTGATAGGAAAGTTATAACAAGAAAACCTCGCTTTCTTGGTTTCTTTTCAATATGTTTCTAAACTTCCATCTACTTTCTTTAATATAATAGTACATCAGAATTTCCTTCACACAATGTTTTATATTTTTCACTGCACTTTCTAACCTTAGCACATTTAAAATATCTGGAGCTAATGCTTTAAAGACTTGCAAACTTTTAAAGTGGCTTCTATGCTCAAAAAGTATGAAACAAGGTAAAACCCACTTTTTATCCAGTCAGCACATCCTTTGGTAACATATTCTGTTTCTTCTATCTAATTTTAAGGTACCCAGTTGCAATGGTGTATAACAACCTGATAAGGTTTCATTGCAAAATTCAGTCACAGGGTAGGTCAATCTGAAAAAAATAATGTTCACATAAATCCAACCTGGATCAAAATTTTTATTGCAGACATGAAAGTAAGCTAGGGTTGGGGTAGAAATGAAAGAGCTATAGAAATGTAGCACACTCATAATCTTTCATTTCTGCCCTGGAGAAGCTTGAAATGTTGAAGCCAGGAAATAGAATATGATCAAACAGTCCTGCTTGTATGTGACTAAATTGATAAAAACCATGAAAACCTAAATCTAAATTATAAAGCACATTTATGAAGTCCCATCAAACTGAATTGTTATCTTTACGTGTTTTAAACAATTTCTGAACACTGAATAATGGACCAATAAATGCTTAATGAAGGAATGAATATATGGTTCTACCAATCCACACTTTATCTTTTAAGATACTTACTTTCACATCTCTAAAATCCACATGAAGCCAAGACTCGCAATCTTTTCTGAGTGATTTGTGGTAGAAAGAAAAGGTGCTGTATTACCAGTAGAAGAAATCTTATGCATTTTGAATATTAATAAGTTCTTAAAAATGTGAATAGAAATGCAATATGCATTATAACATTTGTTTGTAGCAGTGAATTGTCATGACACCCCACAAATTATCCACTAATCACAATTGGTAAAACAAAAAATTTAAAAATGGTGACAGATTTGACATACAAGCCATTACGTTAATTTGAAACTCATTTGATAGGTTAAAAAATATGGAGACATAAATTCTAAGCCGAAGGACCAATGCGTATAACCACTTTAAGCTTAAGTGCTTAACTTGAGGTTATACAGTACAGTGAAATATCCAATTGTCCAGATTTTGAGAAGTTGGAAAT